TTAGGCTGAAACGAACGAATGACACTTTGCTCAATAACAACATACGAAAAGAAAACGTATAATGATTGGTCGCGAACAATGTTACAGTAGATAATTCTTGCAACCGATCCCTCCTCACCCTCCTCATGAAATTCCGCATTTTTCCTGATGTAGGTAACACAGTTATTTTTTTTGTACTTTTATGTCGTAGATCTGGTTAGTTAAAATCCCACGTAAAAAAAGGTTTTTTTAAGACGATAGGTAGTGACAGGCATCCTTATTCAGGTTTCACAAAACGGAATGCCTTCGGAATGTACTGGTCCAATCTCTTATTTGCCGTGACCAATTTTTCGCTTTTCCCAAAGATTGGGCCCCATATGCATAAAGTCTGTGTTTTAATAGACGATTTTGCTGAAAAGGGTCGGGGTGAATTTTTCGCTTGATAACTCTGGATGTTTGGCGCAATTCATAGCACATAGAGGACGCTGATTAATATAATTTTAGGCTGTATTACTTGTTGTGCCATTAATATTACCAAAAATCTATCTAAATTAACATAATGATCAATTGCTAGAAATACATGTAACATAGAACTTCCTTTTTTGAAGTCGTTTATAATTAATACTCTTCACTGACATAAATTGTCTATGATCAAGCTCACGATGCAAAAATGACATTCCCAATGTGAATGTTCTAAGTTTTTTATGAAGCTCGTTTTTTTTTTCTTTTCTTTAAATGTAGTCCTATTATTCCTTCATGCCCAGCTATCTTATAACTTAGACCGTTCCCAATCAAGAACCGTCAGTTATTTTCTAAGTTTCAATTTAAATTTTAAACCTCGTTTTTTTCTTTTCTTTAAATCCAAGCCTTTGATTGTTTCTTGCCAGCTATTTTATAACTTGGACCGGTCGCAAAGTCAACACACTGGTGCCTTGCTCATGACTTTCTGACACGGTCTCAGATTTTCACGAACTGTTGGCCATAGGATACTCCTTTGAATTTTCGTGGCAGTTTCCGCTCTGATTCAGTATTCATGAATCGAATGAAAGTATTCCAATTTCGTTAAATTTAACATCGGTTTATTTTTCTCGCTGTCAAAATATTTGCTTGCTGACCAGTCCATTTCGACATTGAAAAATATTGGTACAATCGAGTTCATAAATATATTGGCAATGCCAATGTTTCAAAATATTGTAGCGCAGTAACGCAGCCAATACTGAGCTACCGCAACATGTTTTCTATGATTACATTCTATTGATGTTTGAGTTTGTATTGAAATATGAAATATTATGATCGTTAAAACGCTAAAAATATTTTGAAATATTGGCACTGCCAATATATTTATGAACTCGACTGCACACATCAAGTTTTCATCTTTTTTGGGGACTTGATGTATTTAAAACTTTTCCTAACAACAAGTACATGGCAACTTCTACATAGTTGATAAATACTTTTCTAAAATACCGTTACTAATTATTTGAAAATAAATGAAGAAAGTCAAGATCTAATCATAATCAGTAATTTAATCAGGTGATTAAATTACTGATTATGATTAAGTATAGATTAAGTAGGTACTTAACTCATTCCAGGTTTACTTTAAAACAAATCAATTAATCAACTCACCAAAAAAGCCGAAAGCAAAACGACTGAATCAGTGCTTAAAACTTTGCAGTCATTAGGTGTGCATGATTAATATAATTAGGAGCACCTTCGAAGCCCTAATGGGGCCTATTCGCTTTGTTTTAATGACCTCTTGGCGCTAATGATGTGAAAAAAGGTAATTTGCACCCCTGCTGAGCAGGCGGCAGTGACATTCACCTTCATTATTCGTAATACTTTGTAAGTACGGTTAATGATAATTTTATTCTTATTAATCATCACTTCAAGCTTAGTACGTAATTGATAGATGTGACTGATTGTTAAGTAGTAGATAGAATAGTGGTCTTGTATTGATGGAAATCATGCGTTATAGATGCTAAATTAAAAATGGGATTTTCGTCATAGAGTTTATCTTGTATTCAGAATGCTTCGAAGCAGGAATGATTTTGGACAGCTTTTATTCGTTTTCCAAGACAAGTATGAATCGATTAAACTAAATATTAAAAATGTCTAAACAGGTACCCTAATCAAATAAATATTTACATATATGTAAGTAACAGAGAATAAGTATTTTGTGTAAGACACCCATAATTATTAGATTTATTGAATTCAAATCTTTATTTTGCTACTGGTAATTCAGTGGCGTGGTGGAGCTCTCTGAAGTATAAATAACTGATGATGATGATCAACTAAAATGTCGAAAAGACAATAACTTAAAATCTAGACCTAGACCAAAAGGCTGATATAGTGCGGCTCCCTAAGGCAAAACTACACAAACCCCCAGTCATTCCCTAAACAACAATAAACCCTTAATGNAATTTAACATCGGTTTATTTTTCTCGCTGTCAAAATATTGGCTTGCTGACCAGTCCATTGCGACATTGAAAAATATTGGTACAATCGAGTTCATAAATATATTGTCAGTGCCAATGTTTCAAAAGATTGTAGCGCAGTAGCGCAGCAAATACTGGGCTACCGCAACAGGTTTTATGAATAGTTTATACGATTACTTTGTATTGATGATTGAGTTTGTATTGAACTAACATTTTTTTGAAATATTTGCATTGCCAATATATTTATGAACTCGACTGTACACATCTAGTTTTCTTCTTTTTGGGACTTGATGTATTTAAAACTTTTCCTAACAACAAGTACATGGCATCTTTCTTCTACATTGTTGATAAATACTTTTCTAAAATACGGTTACTATGTATTTGTAAATAAATTAAGAATTTACTTATTATGATCTAATCATAATCAGTAATTTAATTACCCACTTAACTCATTCCAGGTTTACTTTAAAACAAATCAATTAATCAACTCACCAAAAAAGCCGAAAGCAAAACGACTGAATCAGTGCTTAAAACTTTGAAGTCATTAGGTGTGCATGATTAATATAATTAGGAGCACCTTCGAAGCCCTAATGGGGCCTATTCGCTTTGTTTTAATGACCTCTTGGCGCTAATGATGTGAAAAAAGGTAATTTGCACCCCTGCTGAGCAGGCGGCAGTGACATTCACCTTCATTATTCTAATACTTTGTAAGTACGGTTAATGATAATTTTATTCTTTTTAATCATCACTTCAAGCTTAGTACGTAATTGATAGATAGATACGTAAATGACTGATTGTTAAAGTAGTTGATAGAGTGGTGGTCTTGTATTGATGGAAATCATGCGTTATAGATGCTAAATTAAAAATGGGATTTTCGACATAGAGTTTATCTTGTATTCTGAATGCTTCGAAGGAGGAATGATTTTGAACAGATTGTATTCGTTGTCCAAGACAAATATGAATCGATTAAACTAAATATTAAAAATGTCTAAACAGGTATCCTAATCTAATAAGTATTTATATGTGAGTAACAGAGAACCAGTATTTTGTGTAAGACGCCCATAATTATTACATTTATTGAATTCAAATCTTTATTTTGCTACTGGTAATTAAGTGGCGTGGTGGAGCGCTCTGAAGTATAAATAACTGATATTGATGATACAACTAAAATGTCGAAAAGACATTAGGCAATAACTAAAAATCTAGACCTAGACCAAAGGGCTGATATAGTGCGGCTCCCTAAGGCAAAACTACACAAACCCCCAGTTATTCCCTAAACAACAATAAACCCTTAATGGCCCCAGCAAGCCGTTAAGTGGTCCCCTTTATTGCTAACCCGTACCAACCATGTACGTAAAATTAGTTTTTTAATATTCATTGTTGGGTTAGAAAGTTTTGTCATCAAAAAGCCACAAAAACAATGGTCATAACTTTACCTGTAATGAGTTTTATGAACATTTACGGTAGGTTAATGCCACAATACCTAATCTAGTTAAGTTAGTGAGGGTCTTTAATTTAATTCCTAAGCAATCAATATTGCAATTAATCAGATTATGTATGAAACTTGCACTATTAAAAACTACTAATACTTATAATCAGTCGGCCGTTTGGTGTAACTACTATGCCGAGAGGTCCCGGGTTCGATTCCCGGCCGGGCAGAAATTGAAATGATGAATTTTAATTTCTGTGACGGGTCTGGGTGTTTTTTATGTATAATAAGTATGTATTTACAAAAAAAAAGTATTTAAGTATGTTTATATCCGTCGTCTAGTACCCATAGTACAAGCTTTGCTTAGCTTGGGACTAGAGGCGCAGTGTAAAATGTCCAAGGATATTTATTTTATTTATTTATTTATTTAATTAGAGAAACTATGATAAATAATTGAATGGGTAGAAAGTAAACTAAAGTTAGAAAAAACATGGACAATAGAGCCTGAGAAATTTGAGGGTTGCCCTGATGATGGGGCATCAGATGCAGCCTTGGTGACAGTGGGACAAAGTTATAAGTAAACCCTATCGATTAAAAAAATAATTTGATGAATAATTCACAATTGAATTAACGGAGATATGGGTGATCATAGTAATAAGAAAAGTGGAACATCTTCCATTTTCGAAATCGGTTTATGACAAAAGTAGCTTTCCGGCCGCGGCTTCGCCCGCGTGGAATTTTGTTTGTCACAGAAAAACTTTATCGCGCGCTTCCCTGTTTCAAAAACCGGGATAAAAACTATCCTATGTCCTTTCCCGGGACTCAAACTATCTCTTTGCCAAATTTAATCAAAATCGGTTTAGTGGTTTAGGCGTGAAAGCAAGACAGACAGACAAAGTTACTTTCGCATTTATAATATTAAGTATAGATTTTGGTTCTAATTCACTATCATTATAATAATCCTACCCTAACGACTTGTAAACATTTTATCTAAATAATTAAGTCACCATTAGCAACAAAGCATTGAATTGAGTCATTGCGTGTACATTCCTTAAGAAAGTTAGAGCTTTCCACGTGTACTTAATGAAACTCATTACGAAATGAACCCTTTGACTAATGAACAAATTGAGTAATTAGAACCCTTATAAGTAGACAGGGACAGATTTTTTGATCATTCCTTGTTTTAATTTCTAACTGCTACATACTCCGCATAAATATATTTTTTTGCTAATCGAGTAGTAAGAATTGAAAATGGAAAACCAAGAAGTTGTATACAACGAGTATGGCTATTGTTCAGACCTGAGCCTAGCTTTGGCTAAGATTGCATTTGAATCACCTATTTGTCGGAGTGACTTTGTAAGTTATTTTGCCTTTTTTCTTTTTTGTGTATTGTTTATGTATTTTTCTTATCATTTAACTGTCCATTATTTTTTTTTAATAGTCCCTGCAAAACTTTGTTGTGTTGTTTTATTAAACCCCAAGTTAAGCCAGTTTTTATACCTTGTATAACCGTGTTGATCTTCAATCTCTTTTGTTCCAGGTTTACAAATGGCTCGACGACCACCAGCCTTACTTCTGCACGCCTCTGCCGAAGGTGATAACCTCAATATGCAGCTACTCGTATGGCCCACCGCAGATACATTACTACTACAGCCAACCCTTGACTGTTACGCACGGTTTGAGGAACATAAAACTTCCTTACATCGTCCAAGCCCCCTTCAGAATATCTCCGATGAAACCTGTTTCATCAACATCATCATCATAATTTTAGCCACAAGACGTCCACTGCTGAACATAGGCCTCCCCAATGATTTCCACATCGCACGGTTGGTAGCGGCCTGCATCCATCGCCTTCCTGCTACCCATTATCAGGTCGTCGGTCTACCTTGTAGATGGACGTTTGGACGTCCCTGTTTATTACTGATTTATTGTGATCTAAGCCTTTGTAAATATTATGTAATTTGTAAGTTATTTTTTTAATAATAAACGAAAGTTTTGTATTATATTTTTTGTATCATTTTACATATAATTTCATAACACATCAGCCCATTGTTACATAAACTAAGTATCATTTTAATTCTAAAGCAACTTTACATCGTCTAACTAGGCATAGTATATTTTGACGATAGTGGTGTAAGAATCTTTTGGAATATTTATTTATAGAAATATTAAGAAAGTGAGAAATTGCTTCAGGAATAATAATATTAATCTAACAATCGAGCTCACGCGTACGACACCCCATACAAATGTAAGAATTAATTACTCTATTACAATACTTCCCCCATATATCAAATAGCACAATAAACACATAATTTCCCTTTATCTGTCATATTAATTACTGCGTGGCAAGTTATAGTTATGGTTAACCCAAACGAGAATTCCACAGTAAGTCCTACCAGGCCTGTTCATCTCCGCGAGTTTGCATTGAAAACAAAACATACGCGACTACCCCTCCTGCGGTACCTATTAGACAGGACAATCACGAGCAAGTATTTTTTTTTTTTGACGCACGCACGTGTATTCACCCATTTGCATTGTAAAGATAATAATAAACTATATGTAAAAACGGTGGTGTAATTAATACTGTGCAGTATTTTTTAACTGCCTGAATAATAATAATATAATAATAAATAATAAATATCCTTGGACATTTTACACTGCGCTTCTAGTCCCAAACTAAGCAAAGCTTGTACTATGGGTACTAGACAACGGATATAAACATACTTAAATACTTTTTTTTTGTAAATACATACTTATTATACATAGAAAATAATAATAGAAACACAAAATATAATTCATGCTTATTCATTTCCTCCGCCAATTTCCGCAGTTTGGCACCTCACGTCACACATAATTTTACCGAAGTCAGCCCTATGGCTTCGGCGCAGTACCGATCACTGACGTTTGTCAACAAATGGTGCTCGACTCTTGAGTCAAGCTAAATCACACCATATTGTTAATGACATTGAGCATACATTTTTTTAAATACCTTCGCGAAGTAAATCTTCTGTACGTAGTACTTATTATTATTCTGTGGTCCTATTCTCTGTACCTACGATTGTCCGAAAACAATTTATAGTTGACAGCTTATCTGACTATACGGGGCTTAACTTTAAGCCTAGGCGCAGACCACCGACTTTTGGTTGGCCGATAGTTGGGTCGGGCTGTTGATCAGTATGGAGGTGTATGAAAGTGCGCACACACCAATTTGGTATCGGGCGATTCTTCATTACAAATTAGAATCGGGCCCATTTATCGGCCAACTAAAAGTCGGTTGTCTGCGCCTAGGCTAAGACTAGATCAAACAAAAAGGGTTGATTTTACTACTCAAATACAACTACGTTTTCTACAAAAAATCTAGGATCCCTTATTAAATGATTGATTGCATATACTGGGGCAGGAAAGTTCTTGAGTGGCGACCACGAGCCGGAAGACGTAGCGTGGGCAGGCCTCCCACTAGGTGGACCGACGATCTGGTGAAGGTCGCGGGAGGTGCCTAGATGCGAGCGGCGCAGGACCGGTCTTTGTGGAAATCCTTGGGGGAGGCCTTTGTCCAGCTGTGGACGTCTTTCGGCTGAAACGAACGATATACTGATGACAGTGTATACGGGGACCAATTTAGAGAATTCAATATTGGTCTTGTAGGAAAAGTAGTTATATTAGAGTAGTAGAATCAACCCTTTCTGTTTGATCAAGTTTAAAATTTACAGCCTATACAAATTGCAAAATTCCCCCATACAAATCTTAAGATGTCATAAGAAGGCCAACCGGCCATAGTGGAAATCAATTGGAATTGGGGGAGGCCTATGTACCTATGTTCAGCAGTGGACGTCCTATGGCTGAAATGATGATGATTCATCAGATCCTTGATGTGTCGAATGAAGTCAAACCTAATAAACCTAAATTTCCAACTCCTCCTATGTTCTTCTGATTAATTTCGTTGCGGGTCCAATAACAGTAACTTTCCCCGGGACAAACTTGACCTTCATTGGTTGGGTTTTTATGGCGGTCAAGCTGTAGATCCTGGCTACACAGGAGTTGCAGTGGTGGGAACGAGAGGTGGGAATAGTCCGTTACCTTGATGTGTCGTTTTCCGTGCCCATTATGGTAGTAGGCCTACCCAAGATAAATCCATTGCGGTGCCGATGTAGCACTTTGATTTATGAACCAAGTTGCGACACGCCGCTCGTTAGCTTGTAATTTGAATGTTTCAGAAACGTTTAGTGGAGGATTAATGGTTAAAACAATTACACGCACTGCTAAAGATTCTTCGCTCACACATGATAGTTAAACAATATTGCTTTGGGTAATAAGATATTTTAAATAACGTGTTGCCATAATATTCAAACCCATACACCTACTTAGTAAGTTGAACTCTCATTAATAACTTATTTAGTGTTAAAAATAAAGAAAAAGCTTTAAATCAGATATTTATATGTTTTTTTCCTAATGGAAAAGCTGTTCAGCTTTAGTCACTAACAAAATAAAAATATTAACAACTAATTGAATAAGCATAAATTATGTTATATTTCAAGTTATACCAACTCGCCATATTGTGTGTTATCCAATTTTACTAAAGAAACCAATTTTCACCCCGAACTTCTCTACTAGCATTAAAAGCTCTGTTAAAAAAGCAATCTGGCGGCACGAGCTTCCGCTTGAAAGTTGCAAAGTTTCTGCATTCACTCGACTAGTCATGTCGGAGAAATAAACTATTGCTTTGATGAAAATTGAACGGGAAACTAGTATCCACTAGTTCGTATATTCCACTAGTATATATCTGGCGCTTAGATGCAAACTTATTGTAGCCCGAATGAGTTTTCTTCGGAAAGAAGTCGGGAAAAATTTAACAGTGTATCTGCATTGAACTTTTCGTGTTAGTCGATTTGTGGAAAGTTCATGTTCTGTACCTATTAAAAGTTTATTCAGGCAGACGTTAAGCTGATGTTGTATATTATGTTTTAAAACCGGCAGACAGTGGTGACTCAGTTTTTTGCGGCGCTTCTTCTCAGCACTTGCCAAATGTTTGAATCGAAGCGCTGGTAAGGCAAAAACAGAATGAGACATGTAAAGGCTCCTTAAAAGCATTTGACGATTTGTAAGTACTATTTTAATTAGTCTACATAAATAAAGATAATTTTGATTTTGATTTTATGGTGATCAGTGCACATAGGAAAGATACCCAAAAGCTTAAACAATATTTTTTGTATGTCGTTTCCACATTGTACTTTTATTTATTTATTAAATAAAACCGCCTTAGTAACACACCTTCTTCTTCTTATCGCGTCGACAACAAACTTACACAGTGTCAGCACAAAAACTCCGCATCATCGTTCTCAGTGTAATTATGCCAAATCCTCCATATCATGCCTCTAGTAAAGAGAGAGTCGTTTTTTAACAGTGGAGACTTAAGAATTACGACCTGAGGACGATGATGATGGTGGTATTTTATTATGTTGATTCTACATTACATCTACATCTACCTATTAGGTACTCATTACTCGTTCAATTATACACCCTTGTTCTGCATATTCAATAAAATAAATAAACCAAGTATAATTGGGAAGTGTCGATTTGAAAGCTTAGCCGATCTCCTAAATAATTTCATTATAACCAAATCTAAAAGAGGATTTACACTTTACGACTCGACTAAGCCGACCATCGAGAAAAGCTCCGATAATAGATTGGCGAGCAATATCTTTGGGGCACGTAAAATTTTAACGGCCCATATTTTAGTGCGGACAAAACGCATTGATTAAAAACCCCATTGAATTGCCATCGGGACGTTATCGGTCGGTAATTACGGAGATAAATGAGCCTTGATAAGACTGGAGATGCGGGATGCTTGGGATAGCGAAAACAGGCGAAATTTTTATAATGTTACAAACAAGGACATGCTTCTTCTTAAAACCGTCAAAACATAGTTATTTTAGCAAGTAAGTACCTAGATAATACGTTAAACTATTATTTCCTTCATATATTTATATTAGATCTGGAAATAATTAATGTTCTGTGCCAAATAAACGATTTAGCTCAAAAAATATCCTTAGACACTGCGCCTCTACTCCCAAAGTCCCAAATTAAGCAAAGTTTGTACTAGGAGTAATTTTGTTCATTACGAGTTTATGAGTGTAACCTATCTCAAATTATTATGATGAATAAATAAATCTTAGCTATCTATCACATTATAATTCAAACAGCATCTTTGGAGAAATTAATGACTCCTAAATAAGCGATACGATTGAAAGTAAGTAATATAAGTATTTTTGTAGATCTTTACATACCTCCTTATTAAAGTAAGTCGTACCTGAATTGTAAAACCCACACGTTCCCACTAAAAAGTTTTAAATGGTCCGATCCAATAAATCAGTACCGAGCCGTCTAGTATTTGAACTAGTAAATTGCCTTTTGAAGATTGAACTAGGTTTGCCTAAGTTATTAGCCTACGTCTACAAACAGATCGTAAGATTGCTATTTACCATCAAATTAGATCAAAAGTACCTACATTTTTAGTCCACTATTTTAACTATGAGTTTAAACGTGAAGACTGAAGAAATTGTGTTTATAAACACAATTAATTATAAATAATACTAACGTGAATTTTTGTCCGTCACTATTTTCTTGCATATTTACGATTTCTGTGGGGATGGGGACCTTTCAGTGGTTATCAAGTGTTTTCAAACCCTGGTCTTCCTAGTATAAATAAATAGAAAAACATACTTTAATTATTTAACAAAAACCATGAATATAACTTTCTTATCCCAACATAAGAATTTATGAGTTGTTTTACGCAAATTTTATCTACACTTTGGAACCCTAAATTATGGTATCGGTCTTTAATAGCCCTAAGGCTAATTTATAAAACATTGTACACAGCTGATATCAAGTTCAAATTTTAGTCACCGGCGATATTTTCAGGCACCTAGGTAAAGCAGCTCAGCAAAATAATCAACCATTGTTTATTATTAACCAACTTTATTTAGTCGGGCAGTTAATCAGTATGGGCATGTATGGAACTGCGCACATTACACCGATTTGGTATCGGCCTATTCTTCATACAAATTAAAAATCGGGCCCAACTATCGGCCAACTAAAAGTCGGTGGTCTTTTTACCCGTTTAGATTGGACTAAGTAGGTATAAAATTAATAGGTATAATAAAACATTTAGCAATGGCAATATAGTTCTTGCTTTTGATAATTTTGATGAGCTATTCTCAAAAAGAAAAGTACTTACCAGGATCTGCGTTCTCCAAACTTGTGTTTAACTCCAACATTAACATTAAAACTTATCACAACACACACGGAACTTTTGTATTACGTAGGTTCATATTTTTCACCCATTTATCACGTTAAATTTACAACTGGTTGAGACGACACAGTCACGCGTCATGGTCGCAGGTAAACTGCCTAGGATGGCATCTGATCATGGTGTCATAAAAGTCTTCATCTACCCGCATAAAAGTTTTTATTTGTACTATGAGTACCGTCCAGAAAACTGACAATTGATTGATTCTCAAAAATATCATTTTATTGTTCATTTTAAAACAATAATAAGTATTCAAAATAAATGTAAAATATTTTCAAAACAAAATTTAAACGCACTGACACTTGTTTTTTTCTTTGTTCTTTTTTATGTCAATAATTTGGGTTTTGGGAACCATGATTTCGCCAATGTCACGGTACACACGGCCACAGTGTTAACTATCCATTTCCGTTTTTGCTCTCGCTCTCATCAAATGGTGATTATTTGCGATAGAACGAGACGACATGACCGGCAATGGGCAGTTAACACTGTTGACGATAGTACTGTGACATTGGCGGAATAGTGTGCCCTCAGTGGCGAAAAAACGCAAGTTCATCGCCATAAACCAAAGAAGACGAAGAAGACGATAGTACTTATGCACTGGTCAGTCTGGTCACTGGTGCTTGCAATAAAATAATATTGTAGTTTCAACTGACTAAAATTAATTATTTTCATCTTTCTTTCTACGAAACCGGCCAAAGCCAATATATGTAGATGACATTGGTTTTGTCCCTACTAAGTTTTCTCCAACTCTTCGAATCATCATAAAAAATATTGAATTGGATGTAACAAACTTAATTCGACTTCTTATGCATTCCCGATCGGTCCGAATATTAAAGTCCAGGTCATGAATTATTAACATCTCAAAAGGACACCATTTTTATTTTATTCGGACTGATAGAATAATCGAACTCTTATACCCTTTTTAATAACAAGATGAAATGATACGAAAACTAATTTGGACTTTGGCACTGAATTTTTTCGTCTGAAATGTAATCCATTATTTATGAAAGGCGCAAATTATGCTGAAGACTGGAAATATTATCATCTTTTGATGAAAAACACTCGACAACCTGTATAAATGTTTGAAATATGTACTTACTTTTGAATCTAAGATGCTGTAGGTTCAATCGGGTTCAAGTAGGTTTTAATTAAGAATATCTTATAGAATTTGTAGTACAAATGATACATTCTTTTGCAACCCAAAAATAACTCACTGATTTAAGTGACTAATTTTTGGGTTATAAAAGAATCTATTATTTTTATTCAATTAACTTTGCAATTCGATACCAATCTCAATGTGCAATGTCCTAAATTACCTGACTTTTTTTACATAGGGTGAGAGGAAAATAAAACATCAAAATTATAATCAGCAGTAATATTTTAAATTGCTTTGAATCACAATTTGTAGTGTTTATAGATTATAATAATTACAAAGGAAGATTATTTCTCAAAGTACACTTATCCGACAGACCGGCCTCTCGCGTCCAACTGTACTAAAATAGGGAATGTGTTCAGTGCGAAGGTAGGTACACTCGGTAACATACAATTGCTTTCTTGATCACAATATATTGAATACAGGGTGTTTTGTAAACCAAGTGATCGAATGTCGGACAAAAGCGTTTGAATTTAAATAAAATAAGTTTTGTGAACATTTTATGTTTTTTTATTTATATTTTTTATTACTTTCCTGTTTTTTTTACTTTTTATGTTTTTCTGGCATTGAAAGCAATGGAATAACGTTTTTGTCGATACATTTGACCACTTTGGTTACAAATAAATAACACTAAAATATATAGCATATTTTAACAGCACAGATAGTACAGAATTGATGGAACCATGTCAAAATAAGGTAAAGGTAAAGTTAACTGAAAATGGAATGTAGTGTATATTCAATTGTTAAATAAATAGGTATAAAACAGTTTGCTAAAATTAGTAAAAAATATTTAAATAAAAATCTTTACTTGCCTAATGCAAACCTGAACTCGATAGAGTACTATATAGAAATCAATATACATAGACATAATATTATTTATTGCTAGAAAATAACCACCAAAATCTATACTAACTGTGCAAAATGAATCATAGGAACAACTTTAACATAAACGCAGTCGTTTTAAAAGTAAGACTTTGTTTTTTAGTCACTCGACATTTTGACAGAGGTAAGTTCACAATTATTTATGGGATTTTAATCCCAAAAGTTCACCACCATTTTGTATGGCCTTTTCTCCACGATGTTTATTATAATTATTCGTTTGATCAATAATTTGCCTCTTTCAGAATATAATCGGTGACTTAAACCACATTCTATTCATTTGTTTGATTGAAACTGACAAAATATATTTGTTTATTTTAATATGATTGCTTCCAAACCTTGTTATCTTTCAAGTTGTACTATTAGAAAATAAAATTAGTTAAAGCTCTTGATGTGTACAATTAATGAATATTGAATAACCTCAAACAAAAAGTTGGGTGGGAAGAAATAAAACAAAATCAATATTAACACTAAATTATATACACGTTAGGTGAATATAAATCGCCTAAATAAACTTTGTATACTTCTATATTGCTTTAGGTTATTATAAACTATATAAACATTACGAGACAGCTTTTCTGTAGTTACTGAAAACTTTTTAAGTGACATACAGGTTATAACAGGAGATCCTATTTGATAGTCAGTTTCAATCTTACATTCCCATGAACATTCCGAGCTCACCAACAAGCATTGACTAGGTACACTTCCCATCATCCAACACCATTAATACATCAATCAACAGAAATCAAATAAATCATTGGACATCACAAGCCTTAAATACGTCCGTTGGTGTTTTAGAAACCTTGAAACTTGGCAGTACATAACAATGACTTATTTTGCTATAATGAAGAACTTATCATACAACGCTTAGGATGGCATAAACAAATAATGGTTCTAAAATAACTTTATAAAATTAGCTAAGTATTATCACTAGAATATAAAAACTGTAAGCAACAAGTCTATGGTTACTCTGTAAATCGGTTTCACTTCGACTCTACATGTCTCTGTCTCTCACGTAGAATTTCTTAAATGTATAAGAGAGAAAGAAGAGTTGATTATCGAAATCGTTTTACGTAGTAGACCCGCTAATATCTAAAAAGGTTCGGGCTGTAACGTTAACATGCAAAACAAAAATTAAAACACAATAATTAGCCTATTCGAAACTAAAATATTTGGCAACGCTATCTTAGACTTTTTAAATAAGGTCGATGTATACAATTAACTAAATATTTAAGTACGTAACTTAACATTATTAAAATGAATTCTTACAAGTTTTACAATAAGTATAATTGCAAATTAGCTATAAATAATGCTACAACAAAAACTCGGTTACAGCCCTATGAAACTTGAATAGCATCTATAAAATACAAACAATGGACTAGTATCTAGCATTATCAAAAAAAACTTTAACGCTTTTCAAAAACCTCATAAGTATTTCTAAGTGATATGCAATACGCTTTAGGCAGGCTCGTTTCTGTTAAAACAATTTCCTCGAATATTATCCAAGCAAGCATAGCGTAAAGACTTCTGCCCACTTCATGATAATAATAAAAATTGCTGCTATATGGTATTGATATTGAATAGGTACGTATTTTCAAAGAGTTTTGGAGGCGTAAGTTTTTTATAACATTTTATAATTTCCTTATTTAATACGAATAAACTTAACTTTAAGAACTTCAGGCTACGCGATCGGTGGTGCATTTTTGGTAAAATGCAATCAATATTTTAAATAAAGTACAACAATATCTATTGGAACTGTCTGTAAATGCTTTTCATTAATTGAAAATGCTTTATTGCTGCTTCATACTAAACAAAATTAATACCTAATTATTATTTGTAACGTCTTATCTCGGTAATAATACTGCCATGTCTTGTATTCCATTAAATGGTGTAAAATAAATAAAAATATGAGTGGGCAGATGCCTTGTATTCAATATTAAAACGCCGTAGAAAATCAATATACTTGACTATATCTAAAATCTATCCTAAAAAAATAACTAGTAGATGCTCCAAATGAAGGTCTTTGCCGTTATCACATTGTAAAAAAACTTTTGCCTTTGGCATAATAATTCATAATAATTATAGCATTTATCTACGGCCCACACGAACTCAAATAACCAACCGTAGTCTCACTAAGTCCAATCCAGTACCTTTAGTAACATTACTATCATTTAAGTCTTAAGGATTACTTACTAAATATGAAGTTAAAATGTGTGAACAAGCTTCTTATAATATAATAATAAAAAGTATTAGTTAAACTTTTAATTTTAAATTCTATGTATAGATTTCAAGATTTTTTTATTATTTTATATATATAAGTAGTAATTTATCTAACTAGTTCTACATCTAGTGCACTATTTCTTTAGCAGTGGTCAAAACTAAGGTCAGCCGTCGCTCTGCTCCTTTCCTTTCGTGAAACTCACAAAACATTAACGTAGGGTCCAAATTATTGTTTTGACCTCCATCCCGTTTAAATGGGGGTAAAACAGCCCTTGTCTCGAGGCATTCGGCGCTACTCATGCCAACTATTTCAGCCTAACAAGAATTGAAATACAGAAATCCAGGAGTTGATACTTCACCTTTTTGTTTACAGTGTCGACTTGAATCACTAAAATATTTCAAAAGGGAAATATCTTAAGAGGCATTGAAAAGTTTCCTTCAATCCCATTGAATTTCGAACATGAATAATAAGTTTTTTTTGCACCTCAAAGTTTGAACTGTGAAATATCGCTGACGAAAATCCAGCTGATTCATCCTGAAAATTGCCCTCGTTTTCATAAAAGGAGCACCTCAAAGGCCGCACTAAAAGCTTCCTACAACTGTTTGTGACGATCGTGTGGATAATAAAATACTCTCTCTTTACAAATCGGAGTTACTTTCACCACAAAAATATTATTGCTTTCGGAGGTTCTGCGTTGCAGTTAAAAATATTTTTTTTTTACATTTCTTTGTGTATTTTTTCTCCACGTTCATCGGCGCTCGTAAGCAATCGTGCACGCTATCCAAAAATATATACGCATGACCACTAGCTAAACGAACTATTTATCCATTTGAAATAAAACAATGAGATAATAACTTTTATGGAAAATTAATACATCAAAACTTTTGGCGCAATACATTCTCGAAATACTGTTTTTGTATTCGCCATTACTACATATACATATATAAATATAACATCTTAAAATTAGCGATCCAAAAATATGAAATATACATGTTGTATTCGCGCCCTCGGGTGCCCATTGACCTTGCAAGCGAATCGCGCCTCTATTTCAATTGCCGTCAACATCGTTTTCGCTTGTTTTCGTAGTGCGACTTACATCATTTTGCCACCGGAGGGTTTGCCGCCACAACTGGACGGTTTTCTCATTCTACGTCGCGTGACTTTTCATTTTTACTTGATTTTGACCACGTTTACTCCAAACGAGTTCCAAAGAATATAAGTCCAAAGATTCGTAAGGTGTTTGATACTAGTTGAGAGTAAAGGGGGTGTTACCTACAAATTTCAACACTGGGCCTCTCGAAAATGAAATAAAAGAATCTAATAGAGGAATATTTAACTCATAATTAAATTTTGAAAATAGTGTTAAAGAAGATTTACTGAAGAAATGTCTAAATTTTAATTTAGTCAGAGAACTCAATAAACTGGTATCAAAAGAATTCCGAAGTCACCTGATCCTTGGCCCTGCACAAGCAAAGCAATCTTAGTCGTTCGTAACTTTTGCTTTATAAAAATACGAATCGAAAATATCTCGACGGCTGTTGTCGTCTTATGGTTAAGCTATGATTACTCTAATCCCTTAAACTATATCTATACTACGTTAAAATATCAGAGAATTCAGAAAAAGGGAATATTTAGGTAGTTTATTTCTATATTAAGTGGTGCACAACCTTTTTTTTCATGAACGCTAGATAAGTATGGCATTTAGCTTTATCGAGGATCTATAACCAAAATTAGTATCTAATGAACTAATTGTAGGTATAAGAAAATTCATTAACGATTTCAATAGTTTCGTTATAGGAACTAGGGATGAAGAAACACAAGTATCGATCTCGAACTATATTGACTTTTGTCAAAAAACAAGAGCGGCAAGATCATCAGTAATAGTTTTGTAACAGAATACACCAAAATGTTAAATAATAATAGCAGAGATAAGCTTCCAAATTTAGATCTAAGTCTACTGGAATTTAAATAGATCATGTTCGATGATACTCTAAGGCGTCGCTGCGTAGACTAGAAAACAATTAACCTATTTAGGCTGGAATGAAACCTATATTGTTAACTTTGACCAATAGTCAAACTATAATAACTGCATAATTACTTTTTATTTCCTTAAATACGATAAAATCTCAAAATACTCACAGCTCGTCGGGTTTATTGTATTTTACGCTAGGTGCAACTACTTTATAAGAACAGTGGCTTTTTAATAATTTGAATTTGTACTTAACCTACATAATTTTAGACTCCGTCGTCGAAATCATCAATGGAATCAAGAATCCAAGTTTTGACTTGATCCTCTAATGTCGTAAGCAAAATAACCAACGAAACGCCTAAACGTTTTAGTTTAGGAAGGTAACCATTGAAATCATTAGCAAATAAACTAAACTTAATAGCCAAACTTTACTGACCCATTTTAGATTACGTGGAATTGATTCGACATTTTTCATTTTTATAAGAAAAATCAGCCAATACGTTGATGATCTAGATAAATTACTTTACATCCAATTTAGAGTTTTCAAAAATATTATGATTCCAATAAATGTCCTAAACAAATGTCTCAAAAATACATTATGAAAATATAATACAAATACGATAAAATTTATACTAAATATAACCCTGTCTATGACCTGAAGAGTTTAAAATAAAGAAAAATCGAATCCAAACTCTGAACAAGTCATTTTAAAGGAAACAGATAGATCTACAAAACTAAACAAAGACAAGAATTTGAATAGATTTCGTGTTTGTGAAAGTCAAAACTTTTGTATTAATCATTATTATAATGGCTATTACAAAACGACAGGTTAAAATTTAAGTAGACAAGGCCCGAGTTATCTCACAACTCTAAGAAGAAACCTGCTTTGGAATGTTCTAGAGAACAGTTGAAAATATACGCTTAAAAATAAGCTTGAATTAGGTTCAAGTAGCAGTAAGTAGATACAGTGTTCTCAATTGACTACGTTATTAGAAAAGGAAAGGTGTGTCCTTGAAATAAGATCGTTTGTGTAACGGAGGCAGTCAAAGTTTTTGATGAACTAAAATTTTGTAACGAAGGTGAACATTTTCAAATTGTAAATGTAGGTTCTTATAAAGCAAATATTCGAACAACAAATTAAATACCAACTTACAATCAAAGATGTTGCGAAAGGAACAAAATCGGACACTTGAACTGTGCTAATCTCTTTCAAATGAATAGTATCCACACCGTGGGAGTCGTATCTAGGCTCCTCACATTCTGAACAGCAACTCTAGAAGTAGGTCTTCGTCTGCATTCATTGGTGATTGCGGAGCTAGATAATCGACGACCCTAGAAATAAAGTTTATGTTATCATGCTGATGATCCTCTGTCACTCTAGTCTATGTAAAAATTTATCCAACAATAACCCCTTTAAATTGCTGGATGAATTTTTAGACTTATCTTTTAAAGTAGGTATGTTTTAGTGGCCAAAATACTGACCGGTTTTAGCATGTACCTAAAACAAAGAATATGGTCTTCTGTGGAAAAGGGTACCTATGGAAAAAAGTGAAAACCAATAGCACCTTATATTAGTGACTTCATCGTACTTCTTCGAAGCTCATTCTGGACCGACGTACAAAGCTCTAAATGGAGTATTTTGTAGCTTTCTATTATGATGGGAACAATTTTCATATGTGTTGAAAACTGTTTAGAAAGTGATGTCAACAAATAAACGGTTAGTGATGATGATGATGATGATGATGATGGTGGTTACCTATTGGGCGTGGGTGGTGTACTGGTGATGCGCGGCGATGAGCTTGGGAGGGCAGCCGGCGACCGCAGGGCCGCCCTCACGCTTTCGGCTCGTGCGCTCTGCAACCTGCAAGCGTTATAGGGTTAAAGAATACTGGGCATTGTACCACGCCGCTATGGTAAAGAACTGTATCAGGGTACAGAAACTGGATCAGGCCAAGCATTCGGAGCGTTTCAGAGTATACAACGCTGTTTTGTAGAAAGACTCTTCGACATTGCACGGTTTTCGTATGTATTTGTCTGACTCAACCCACGCATTTCTAACAGGAACAGTTGTTGTATAATTCTCCACAAATAACATAGCATCTTATACCATGACCAATTCGTGTCATTTTAAATATTCCTTAAATTTTAAACTTACGTTTGTTGAAAACTCTTCCCAGGTGCTAGCAGCGTTAAAAAGTGAATTAGATATTAATTTTAGAAAGAAAATTCTCCCAATTGAAAAATCAAATACATACTACGAGTTCATAAACACACTCTTAAGCTAAAAAAAACGTTTGTGTTGATCACTCAAATAGAATAGGAAGTAGATGAGATATCTATAAAAAAGACCATTTTTACTTTTTCATCGAACGTCAAGTACGGTACTATTCCCACCACTCATTCCCACCGCTGCAACTCCTGTGTACCTAGCTAGGATCTACAGCTTGACCGCCAATAAAAACCCAACCAGTGAAGGTCAAGTTTGTCCCAGGGGAAAGTTAATCGATCATCAAGTAGCCAAGTTTTGAGTTGGCTTAAGTCAAAAGCCTTAGACGTCCAGCATAACGCGCTTTGACGATCAAGCACACTTCACGGACCGCTTTCATTCAACGCTAAAGTTCTAAGTCCTCAGGAACAAAACAACAAATTTCTACTTATTAAGTGATTTATCTACCCGAGACAAGGAACATGGTATTCATTCAAGGATGTTTCGTTTACAAATTAAGGTGAAAGAGGATTAGATTACTTGCCGGATAAAATACGACTTGGTGAGTTTTAAATTAAATTAACATTAAAGTCTGGGAGTTGTTGCGTAGTGACAGACGGGGACGTTATTAAAGTGTGTTGCTTTTTAATTAACGTTACGATGTTTCTCTTTTCCAAGAAGTTTCGTTTGTTCAAAATTAGTTTAAGAAGTCATTCCTCATGTCTTATCATTCCGAAAATCAAATTAGTCTACTTTTTTAGACTTCCTTAGGCCTACTTTACTTTTCCAAGACTCAAGGTCTTGTCTAAATTAGAGACTAATTAATTGAAATTAAATTGTTATGCTTTCTTAGTCTTTAACCTTGAATGAATAAACCCCATTCAGGGAAGATTATGACAAGATCATTAATATCATTTTCTTTTTCTATTACTTTTATTTTATAAATTATTGGAAAGAAAAAAATCAATGAAAACCTATAGCAAAAACTATCTTTGCTAATGAAAAAGTAATTTACGTAAAAATTTAGAATTCAAATAAAAACCGAAGATGTTAACAGATAACTGGGTGTCAAACTTAAAATAATCTTCAACTTTCTTATTAAAGTCCTCAAGTTCGAAGCTTCGAAACTTCGCCTTAAGAGCTTTTTCAGCCATCATTATAAAAGATATCCATTGATGCTGTATCAATGGACTTTTCGAGCTTTTTGTCAAACTTTTATAATAAGATCGAGTGGGGTTGAACAATTTGAACATGTTTTAATTAAATATCGGAATCCTCCAGTACCTTTACTGTCGTAACAGACATCGATGTGAAAATTTATTTCTTGAAAGCCTTATAGATATTTTCTTACACTAGGAAAAAAGCATTACTAGTTTTTCAAAATCTTAATTCCAAAGACATCCAGAAAGTCCTAATTTCGTTTCAATGTTTTTAGGTGTATGATATTTTTCGTTAATTATATCAAATTAGAGCTACCCTTCATAATAACGGTGGAGAGGCGTAGCAACCTCAATGGGACCTGCTGAAAATCAGTGTCGAAGCATGCCCAGTGCCCACGGCATATCTCGATAAATGCTGAGCGGGCCCCTACTTTATTTTTATTTTCTTTATGCATAACAAGTAGAGATGGGTTATACTAGGTAAATGGCAATGCCAGATTTTGTATGGAAGGTGGCGTCTTTTTTTTATCGCACGGCCATCGACCAAACTTTGTTTTTTGATTACAAAATAGTGAAATAAACCAAACTTACTATGACATGTATACCTCTAAACTCAGTCTGAACTGAGTTACGAGCGTTAGAAGTTTGATGATTTACATACTAGATTTGCTTTTTGCGCGCAAGTTTTGTAAGAAATTGCAACAAAATATTGCGCTATTTTTTTATTGCGCTGATTCTAGTCCACACTGATGTCTGGAGCCTTTAATGGATGGTATTGTTTGTTTACACGTACAATGTCACTATTTTGTTGCAATTTCTTACAAAACTTGCGCGCAAAAAGCAAATCTATAGTATGTAAATCATCAAACTTCTAATGCTCGTAACTCAGTTCAGACTGAGTTTAGAGGTACACCACATGTCATNGTTTTGTAAGAAATTGCAACAAAATATTGCGCTATTTTTTTATTGCGCTGATTCTAGTCCACACTGATGTCTGGAGCCTTTAATGGATGGTATTGTTTGTTTACACGTACAATGTCACTATTTTGTTGCAATTTCTTACAAAACTTGCGCGCAAAAAGCAAATCTATAGTATGTAAATCATCAAACTTCTAATGCTCGTAACTCAGTTCAGACTGAGTTTAGAGGTACACCACATGTCATAGTAAGTTTGGTTTATTACACTATTTTGTATCCAAAAAACATGGTTTGGTCGATGGCCGCGCGAAAAAAAAAGACGCCAATTTCCGGCATTGTCTTTTGATACTAGGTGCACCTATTCCTAGTATTTATTAATACTCGATCCAAATACCTATTCCACCTAGTACGTAGTAATTTAGCATACTTGACGCGACTAGTGCGTACTAATCCACGTAATATGACTTTAAAATACATATTTTTTTAAAGATACAACCGTAGTATGAATAATGCAATTTGAAATTGAATAATAATTCCTCCCTTCATACTTCAACAGACTTAGGACTGTCAACTTAAAAGTTGGCGTTTTTAAAAGATATCAATTTCATAAAAATATATACATATTTTTTTCTTATACATGAATATGGTTTGACTACGTTTGTGTGCGTTTGCTTCGTCGCGCTCAAATTTGACAGAGACGGAGTGAATCTCTATGTTCGCACATAAGCTTAGCGAGAAATACTAGGTACGCGTAATACACGACTACGGATTACGCAATAATAACCTCTATTACTTTGATGGTAGGGTCGGAAATCGTGTAATTTATAAAATACTAGGTGGATCAAGTATTTAAAAAATTGGAATAGGTGCCGCCTTGTACTGTAAAATACCTAGTGTGTGGATCTGTTCTAGTAAATACGTCTCATCCCTAATAACAAGGCAGTTATTTGACCGCAATCGCACCTGGTGTTAAGTGCGATGTAGTCTAGGATGGTACATAAAATATCTGCCCTGTAAGTGCCTATTCACTCACGCCTTGAAAAGGCCCGGACTTGACAGGAGGACACAATTTCTATAACTTTTTTGTTAATTTTAACCTGTATTTGTTGTCGTGCCCTAAGTCAAATAAAGCTTACTTTTAAAAATAATAAATTGTGTCCTAGCTTAAATAGCCACACTTATGAGTGTTATTCAATCAAGCCCGTATCCAGCGGTAAGCCTACGGTCCCTGGGTAAAAGACTAGCGCAATAACATATTTTCCTCCATATTCCGTATCTTATACTCGTTTCTATTCAAAAAGGCTTTGCCCCTCTGTAATGGAGTTGAGATATTAGTTCCGGGCAAACAATTTCGGAGTCCTCCAGGGATTTAGCAACAAAACTTGTATCACAAGTGTCATCAATTTGTTATAATTATTAATTATTATCACTAATTTATAATACAAACGCCTATTATTTTGGTTATTTCCGCCTCATTTTACAATTAAAAGTANTTGTTATCGTTCTCTTAATAAGAAAACGATCAAGGAGAATTATCCCATGCCCCTGATAGATGACCAATTAGATGTCTTAGCTGGTCATCAATTCTATACGACATTAGATCTAGCATCTGGATATTATCAGATTCCCATTCGCGAAGAAGACCAATTCAAAACAGCATTTGTAACACCAGACGGACATTTTGAATTTACTCGGATGCCCTTTGGCCTCGCGAACGCACCAGCCACCTTTCAGCGTATTATGAATCAGGTGCTAGGCTCTGCTCGTCATCAGACGGCCGGGGGGAAGAAGGAGGAGATTCGCTCGCCTCCTTCCGCCTCCCTAGGTGAGACCAGTAGGTGTTAGGCCGGGGGGCCCATCACCCACATCGCACGGTCCCACCCTGTCTGGGGGGGTCTGCCAGTGTACCGGCAGACCCCCTCTTTAGCGCGGGAGGCCCGGCAAAGGCTGGGCCATGCGTCGGCACGGCGTGGTCTGAATCTGTAGGACCCCNTGATATAGTAGAAAGTGTTATACTTACCGTGTGTGTATTGTTCTGTAAGTGTGTGATACACAATATACTCTGGAAACAAGTAAGTTATCGTGTTTTTATTTATTTTGAAAATACCTCTATTATTTAAGACTTAAAGCGTAAAAATAGTGGGAGCCATCACATCTCAGAAGTGGGATAAAAGTTCGCACACCTACTAAAGTAAAATGGTAATGCATGTATTTTTTTTTCTTTTTCTTTTGAACATATAATTAGGTATAAACACAAAATAAATATTTTAGTAAGAGGTGGCTCCTATTTTTGTCTCTTGTTGTTGTTTATCCAGAGAATTGGGAAAATAGCGCTTGGTCAAGGCGACTCCTTGATAGCATCCGTTTTCCCGGTGGTGGATAAGCAATATCGACCAAAATTAATACCAGAATTTAAGTTCATCCCCCCATATTATGAGTACTGAACTGAGTAGATTATGCTTGGCCTTCTCTTATTGTAATTTTATACTTTGAATAAACTAATGAAATAGTTACGCTGCTCACTACTTTTGTATACATGAGTAAACAGTTTACTATGCGGTTGAAACTTTGTACTTT